CATTACAGGAGTTCAGCATTAACTCATAAACGTTATCTAGTTATCACTAGAACAATCTGTTTAGTCATCTAGTTTTACTGAGGAATAAGAGCATGCTTTGGTTAGATCATTAAGCCTTTAGGGCCAAGTACAGACTGTCAAAAAGTCCAAGGCTGAAATCGATTCAATTTTTGCAGGTTAGTCTAAACTGCAGAGATTAAATTGAGAAGCAAGTGAACAGACATTCACTTTGATTCAGGAAATACAGCCACATGCCTGCAGTGACTCAAGCCAGAAGCCAGGGGTGGGGGGCACAGCGCATGATGGATCATGCCTTCAAGCCACTCCAAAGCTTCTGCCATTTTATAATTTAAGTGTAGTTCTCCGCTTTCTTTGGGTCACACCAGCCCAAGCAGTCCCTTTCAGGCTGTTGCCCACCCGCACCCTGCTCCAGCAAAGAGCAAGGGGTGTGGGCAGCACGCTGAGCTGGAGAAGAGAGAATTAAAGCCTCTTCAAGACCCCAGCCCCCAGCCAGGGCTTGCCTGGGGGTGGCAGTCCCTCTCAGGCTGGTGCCTGGCCGCCGCCCCCCCCCACACACACACACTTTAGCAGCAGAAAAAAAAAAGTCTGGCAGGGGCTGCTACCTCCCCACCCAGGCAGATCCAGCTGCAGTCCCCAGCCAGGTTTCACACCCCCACCCCTTGTCAGCCAGTCCTCACTGCTCCACCTAGGGAGCAGAGGGACAAGGCCAACCCTGCCCTCTGGAGCAGATGGCACAGCACAGCCCAGGGCTGCAAAGTATGCTGGGGGACTGATTTAACTTGAACCAGGAAGGGGTCTAGGACAGAAGTTTCATATACCAGTTTAACCCTGGTTAAGTTAAGTCTGATACTGCATTCAACCAGGTTCATCTTAAACTAGTTCAAAATGGCTGAAGCTGGTTTATGTGCACTGAACTTCTGTTCTATTACAGATTTAAACCAGTTTCTGATCACTTAACCCAGTTTGTGTGTAAATTCTGTCCCTAGCCTAAAACCAAGTCTTGTTCAATTATTTCACAATGGCTACTTTCTAATTACAGTTCACCCCCAAAAGTATTCTTGCTCTGAACAACTGCAATCTGGTGCTGTTATTTTAAATCTTATGTAGTTAAACTGATGCTGCCCCCTTTGTGAGGCCTCTTGAAGTTTAAGAGGCAGATATTGAATTGTTCCAAGAGCAGAATTTGATGGTTTGTAAATAAAATAATCCACAGGAAGCAAAAAAGCATCATAACTGGTGTTAAAAACAAAAGGGCTACAATACAAGAGATTAACCACTTGCTCTGAAGTACTTACTTCAGATAGTAAGTGGTAAAAAACCTGCCAAATGACTACTTAGCAGGCAGCAGCTGACTAGGAGTGCCTTTGAAGGGTATAGCAATGGTCAGGATTAAATTTGTTCAATTGTGTAGCTCAAATACCCCCATACCAATTAATTCCACTTCAAAAGGTGGAATTGCAGTTCTTTTAAAAAAATAAACATGTAATTCTTTATTCTGTACCTGATCGTGGGACACGGATACACAGTGTGCCAGATTTTGTAGGAGAATGATCTTCATACTCTTTTTTACAACGACATAAATAAGTGCCAACTCCATTGAAGCAGTCTGCCTCATCACCACAGATTCCAATTCCAGAGTTGCATTCATTCACATCTGCAATGAAGCAAATGGGTGGTAAGTTGTTCTGTGATAGGGAAGGGAGGCTTGAGGAGGATTTTCTTGGTCTGGGAATCTTTGGTTTGAAGTGATATTTCTACTCCAATCCCATTTTTCTGTACCAATGGCATAGCTCTAGGCTCCTTACTGCACCCAATGTTGCCTCATTCCTTTGTAGTTTCCATTCACATGTTGGGTCTTCTTTAAAAGTTGGATTAGAAGTTCTTTGGGTCAGGGAGTGTGTGTCTTATTTGGACAGTACTTAGTCCAATGGGTCTTGGCGCAAGCCCAGCACTACTAAATACCATAGTCATACAAGTAGGCTTAACAGAAAAGAACTGGCCTATCACAGGCAACAACTTTAAAACAGTACAAAAGCATAGCACATACCTTCAACTGACAGTGATGCCAGCTGCAATTTCTTTTCTCCCACAGATCTTCCAATGAGTTCTTTCAGCTGAGAATGTAGTGAGAGAGAGAGATTTCTTTCTTCTGGTTTTAAGTGAAGCCAGAAGGTAAGCCTCAGGTTTTGGTCATTTGTCCTGCATACAGGGAAAACACCTGTGTTGATGCAATTTCCATTGTGGGATATCCCTTTCCATTTATCAGATACTGTGAGGAGGGATAGAGGCTAGCTTCAGCTCTGGAGGGATTGCTTACAGTGTTGGGAAATTAGTTTGCTCTTTCAGCTCTTGGCTGGCTTGGTTGGGCTGAAGAGACTGAAGTTATTTTATAAAAGACACTAACAGAAGTGATATTTGTTGTGCAATCGAGCCCTTGAAAGTGCTTTATAGCCATGCCCCGACAAACGTACAGCTGTAGAATGCTTTAAAAGTACCCAATTACAGGACAAGTTAAGCCTAATTTAATGAGGGTACAGATGAAGGCACTCTGAAGCAAAGCACCTTCATTAACTTATGTTTGTCCCCATGTCAGACCCCACCAGTCTTTCCTGCCCAAGTGCAAAGGGGCTGGATCCAACGATCTTGTGAGGTCCCTTCCAGCCCCTAACATCTATGAATGAAAAGTTGGAAGATGAAGTTAGTAACTGACACAGAACTGCACTGATATTTAAGTCAGTGGAAGAGGTGATTGCATTCCCAAGTACTGATGATTTGGAGTCACACAACCATACCTCTTTATTTCCTTCAACTTTATTTTGTTGACTTTGCTTGCAGAGAGTTTCAGGTTCTCCTGTATCTGCAAAGAACAGAATAACTAAAGTTTGTTCACCGTGGGATAGCCGATGCTAAGTACAGCCATCGTGACCCATCCAGACAGGGTTTCTTTATAAAGAGGCCTCCATTGAATGATTACACTGTTTGGTGGGGATACCTCAGGAGAGGCTGTTGGTTTGTGAAAGTCTCTCACAGAGAATCTGTCCTCTTGACCAGCAGTTAAACCTCCAAATGCTGGATGCAAGTGGTACAAAACACTGAATTTTCCCTGTTCACCCTCCCTGCAGCATCAACTTGGTGCTTCAGAGAGAAAAAAGGTGCTACACTAGATAGACTTATGATCTGGCCCAGTAACTGTTAGTTCTTACGTTCTGTTCTGAACCCTTTTCCATAGGAAAGGGAACTCATTTTGTTCATTTAGCTTGGGTTCCTCTCCATTACTTTGGAGATACAGAAAAGGGTAGGGGGTTGCGATTCCATTCCATCCCAAGCCACATACAACTTTATCATAGCAATATTTAAATCCTTTGGTAAAGAGCTAGAGATCAGATGGCAGTTGTCAGGGGTACAAGTGGCACAGAAAGCTATGCTTTTCTTCCCTACTTCGTAGATGGACTCATTGCAAATATTATGTGACTAGTTGCTAAAGTGCTAGACACCAAGCAGTAACAGAATATGGGATGGGCAAGTGGGGCACATGCTCCAAGCACCACCTAACTGGGGGGAAAGCAAGGGTGAGGTGTGAGGGCACTAACAGGATGGGAGAGGAGGGGGGTGCCCTTCCATCCCATGCTGCACCTGCACTTCCCAGCCAGCAGGCAGCCTGCATGTTACAAGGTCCAGGGTGTCCCGAGAATTGTAGCTTTGTAGAACAGCATTACTGGTCCTGGAGGAAGCACCCCATTTTTTTGCATCAAAATCAGCATGTTTTGCCCCTTTGACATGGGCTTTGGTGGCAACTTCCCCCCACCCCATACCCAACACCACTGCTAGTCTAGAGCACCTTGTACTCCGTGACAGTGCCCAGATGTTGCTCGAGTGCTGCCTCTGGTGGAAGCGAGTGGGGGTGGGAAACAGGAAGCAGACAAAAAGAAATAGGACTGCCTCAGATGTGTTCTTCACATATGACACTGGAGATATCAGAGGCAAGTCCCAGTTCCTGCCAGCCAGCCAAGATGCTGCCTTAGCAATTTTTTCTTCTCTAGGCAAGGGATTTATGCTACCTGCATCACTGGAGCATGCAGTAGCTTGAAACCTGCTGAGGTGCATCAGCAAGGGCAACTACTTGCCATCTACACCAGGGTCTCTCTATATAGGTATAAGCCTATAAGCAGAAACTGAAGCAAAGGCTGTCAGTCAAATTAGACTTCCAGCCCTGGAGCACACTTTGTGCAATGGGCTGTTCAGTTCTGGTGCCTAATGTCTGAAATGGATCAGTAACAGTTTCATCCCTGCAAGGGAAAATATGTCTGGATTTCAGTCTGCCACTATCACCCTTGGAAGCAAAATGCTTCCATTATCTGCTCCCTTTGGATATTTTGACTACAAAAGTACTATACAAAAAGGGAGTTACAAAAGTGAGGGTTAGGGCCATTATACTGGCCTTAAAATTTATTGAATGTTGATATTTGCACCTCAAGAGATGCAGTTTTACAGTATTTTGAAACCCTCCTGTATGCTAGGCCCTCTTTCAGGAACACAAAGGCAACAAATTAGTATGAGCACTTGTGCACATGGTGCCACCATCACGTGTACATGACAAAATGTGACAAGAAATCATAATTTGTCTAACATAATGGCGTCACCATATACATGTGCATGATTTTTCTGTAAGCATTTCTTTGAGCATGGCAACTCAGACCACCTCCGATGTATTTTAGTTTCATCGAGGCAAGTTTTCCCATTGTGGTTTAAAAAAAAGCTAAACTTGTGCGTGTACATGTCACATGGGTGTGCTAGTGGCTGAAGACAGAGGGTGCATGGGGCACTGGAAGTCCAGGCATGCTTGGGGAAGGTCAGGTTTGGCAGGCCCCGTGCCCTGTCCTCAATACATTCTCCAGCCACCAGTACATACACTGCCCACCTGTGGCCTTCCCTCACTATGCCAGGGGCAAGCCAGCCCATTCCCAGACAGCAGAAAGGCAGTGGGAACAATGCACGGGGTGCTGGAAACCCGCCAAGCCTGAGCTTCCCCACACGTGGGCTTCCAGCATGCTGTGCACCATTGGATTGGGCCAGGTGCTGCCTGCAAGCTGGGGCAGCACCCCCCTGCCTGGGCAGCTCCACAGATGTTTGGGTTGGAAGGGACCTCAAAAGAATCGAGTCCAACCCCCTGCCAGTAGCAGGAAAAAGGTGAGTGGGCCATGTGACCCCACCCAGGTGCTTGTCCAGTCTCCTCTTAAAAGACCCCCAAGGTAGGGGAGAGCACCACCTCCCTTGGAAGTCTGTTGCAGATTCTGGCAACTAACTGAAGAAGTTCTTTCTGATGTCCAACCTAAATGTACTCTCCATCAGCTTGTGGCCATTGCTCTGTTTACCACAGCACCCATTGGAATAACCAGAAACATCTCCTATTCCCTGCTGCCCCCCGGTGAATTCGTATACTGCCACAAAGTTTGTATGCTACCACTGCTGCTGTGGAGGGAAGCACTAGGCCCCTCAGAGCTCAGAGCTGCACAGCCTTTCCCCGCCTTCACAGAGCCTCCCCACCTCCCACAGCTGGGGGTGAGCCGCTGGCAGGCCTGGACCTACCCTCTGCGGTAGTGATGCCCCCTGGGGCTGCCCAGGAGGGCTGCTAGTGGGCAGGTCCCACCACTGAAGGGAAGATCCAGGCCCCCGCAGCCTGCCTCCCAGCCACTGGTGAGGCTGGCTCCATGAGGAAAAAAGGATCAGACCCCTTGCCACTTTTCTGGCAGAGCCTGCCCGCGGATGCCTGGGGGCAGGGAGCTACCAGCATGCTGTCACTGTTCTGGAACAGCAACGGAAGACCCTGAATTGAAACAGCGAACCACAATTAAAAACCCACAAATTAAAAAACTCACCATTTCAATCTAGGGAAACTAAACCCCCTTACGTGTACAAGCACGCAGTAGTATTAGCTTTGGAAAAAGAACCAATATAGTAATTTCAATAGCAGTAAGTTGCACATTTGGAGCACATCAACACTCAATAATGTGCCAACATCATATAGTTTTACAATCAGAGAGCCACATAAGGCTTGGATGCAGGAAGGACACGTTAAGGCTGTTCCGCCAATATACCACATGCAGTGCCATTCCCCTCCCTTTATCTTACGTGAAGCTTCATGGACTCAAGGAGAGCCTTTTTCATCTTTTTTCTGCTCTGTGGGATCCATCTCTCATGTTTCATTTCAGTAGTGACTTCGAATAAGATATCTATCAAAAGAAATAGAAATCTTTAATACCTTAGCACATTTTACAATTGTGTTTATTATTATTTACCCATCTTGTTCTTGGTTACCAACACACAACAGAAAAAAAACATTATATTCCCACTTATTTGTATTGGGATAGTTTTGGCTTAGTGTATTTAAAGTAACTACCTGTAGATATTATACCAGGCTACATGCTGAAGGACATAAAAAGCTAGACAAGTGTGGTTTACTGGTATGCCCTAGTTGTGCCATTAGGTTTTCATAGCAGCTTTACCCAGAAAGATTAAATGCCTTTCATACTTTAGATCTGACTATCTTTTCACTTACTACAAAAGTGTAATGTAGTCACCTTTGAGATGAAGAAAGGAGCTATTGAACAAAAGGATCATTTGTTATAGAAAGTCAACAGATTTCTCCCCTTCCACTCCATCCTAATGCAATCAAATATAGATTAGAAACTGTAAATTGGCCAGATTTCAAAGATTTAAGCTAGTTGAATGATATTTACTTTGTTAAAATCTTTATTCCCAGCTCCTTACAAGTAGAAGTGCATATTGAACTTTAACAGACTGGCTCTTTGGCTTACTATTTGCTGTTTGAATACAGATGTACCTTTCTTCATTGTTACTGGTCATGTAGGATTCAGGTTTTTCTTCTGGCTGAAGAGTAGTAGTATGGGCATGTATAGATGAAACGGGGGCCCCAAATTGAAGCGGTGGATTTTAAAGAGTACTGCTTCAATTTAGGGCTGATTAAACCCCACCTGTTGTGCACACACCTTACTGACTTACTTGACTCTCCAGCAGGGAGGGGAGGGTGAGCAGCTGGAAGGCGGAGTAGTCCCTGAGCTGGTGCTTCCCTCCATGGCAGCAGCAGCCCCCCCCAAGTGGCACCCACCCACAGGCACCCTACTTGGACGGTCTCAGGGGGCACTGCAGCTGTGAAGGGAAGCACAGGGCCCTCCATACAGCTCAGGCAGGCTCGTTCTGGGGGAAGGTTATGTTTGCTGCTTTTCTTGGGCACAGGCTGCTTTCCCAAGCTGCTGCCAGGCTGCCTGCAGGGCTTCCTGCAGAGCCGCACGGAGCCCGGTGCTTCACTCCATGGCTGTAGGTGCAGCAAACTAAGACTCCTTGAAGGAGTGTTTTAGTTTGCTGTGCCCCAAATCATTGAAGGCACATTACACTGCTGAATTTCCTACAGCGGCTGGAATTAACATGCAATACATTGCCAAGGTGTGCAAACACTGACCATTAAAGCGGTGCAAAAGCATTTAGCCCACTTTAAAGTGTCACGTGCACATGTCTCTCATTTAGTTTACAGATACTGTTTGCTTTTCACAGCCATGGTTATAAAAAAACCCCAGAAAAAACAAGCTAAATTTCATCTGCATATCTGAGAGCAAGATTAAACTTGCTCTGACATTCATGCTAGAAAACACTCCCCCATCCCCAAAAACAACAGCAATGAGATACCACAAAAGCCTATTGTTCAAGGTACTTAACTGTTTATGAATTTAACTAAGCTAAATTCCCAAATACTGATTGGAGGTTTATAGCATCCACTCAAGTTAATTAACACATCTGCTACTGATAAGGGTTCCAAGTCTTAAATGACCACTGGGCTAGGGGCAGAAATTATACAAAAACTAGTAAGTGATTGGAACCTGGTTCAAATCTGTAACACATCAGAAGTTCAGTGCATACAAAACTGTTTTCAAAATGGCTGAAACTGGTTTAAAGGTACACCTAGATGAATGTAGTGTCAGACTTAATTGATTTAGGTTAAATCAGTTTACTGAACTTCTGCCTCAGATCCCCTCCAGATTCAAGTTAGCTCAGTCCCTCAGCATCCCAGGATGCTTTGCACCTCCCCAGAATTGCCCCACACCCCCCCTTGCAGGGTGGGTGAGCTAGTCTTGGCCAAAGCTATCTGCTCCTTTCCAAGGGAGCCGTGTTCTAACATCCCCCAGTTTCTGGCCTGGGCCACTGCAGGAAAAAGTGAATGTCTCCTTCAAGCTACGTAGCTTAGATTAACCTGAGAAGATTGAACTGATTCGGCCTCAGGCTTCTTGACCGTCTATACTTAGCCCAAGTGATCAAGACTTCCTTTAAAGCTTTGTACCCTCTAGCCAGTCCTAGTCCCACTAAGATTAGAATGCTATAGTTTATGCAGGTTATGCATCTAACATACTAGGTACTGAAAAGGTATATTCCCCTGGAGTGATTAAGTTTACTGCAGTTCAAAGACTGCACTTGCTTGGTACTTAAAACTATTGATTTTTTCCTTCCAGTAGGAGACTCCATTCCAATAAGCCCTTTTTTCTTGTTGTAGAAAAATCCTATTGACTGGGCCCAGACTCGTTTTTCATTAACTGCATTTGGGAAGCTAATGCAGCAAGTCTCCAAGAACTAAACTTAAGATATGAAGATCTAAAAGAAAAAAAAACAAAAAACAAAAAAACCTGGGAGGAATAAGCAATAGGAAGCAGATGAAATAAAGAAAAAGGGAGAACAGTGATTAAAAGAGCAAGATATATTTGCAGGCTTCCCTTATTTTTCACATGTACTGTTCTCAGGTGTCCTTCACTAACATGATGTTGATACAGTCTACTGTAGTAGCATGCAGTTTTACAGTAGATTTCTCCTCATTAGGATTACTGGAAAGCAGGTCTGGAAGGGACCTCACCAGGTCATCTAGTCCAGCCCCCTGCTCAAGGCAGGATCATTCCCGACTAAATCATCCCAGCCACGTGCCTGTCCAACCTGCTGTTGAAAACTTCCAAGGATGGAGATTCCACAAGTTCTCTAGGTAGCCTGTTACAATGCCTGACAACCCTCACAGTCAGGAAGTTACTCCTAGTCTCTGACCTAAGTTTCCTCTCCTGCAGCTCCTAGTCATGTCCAGCCCAGATGCCAAGGCAGTCACACATGTGCTCCCAGCTCCCCCACCCCAGCGGAGCAGAGCAGCCCGATTGAGGGACGAGGAGCAACAGTCAGGTAAGCTGGGGAGAGTGAAGGGGAGGGGCGATGAACCAGGCCAGCTGTAGGGGATTGGGAGGGGGGTTATTTTCCCCCACCCTCCCATCCCCATATAGCCGAGCTGAGCAGGAGCCACACTCACAAGCCAGGCAAACAGGCACGCGTTGGAGTTTGCACAGGTGGACACATAGAAGGGGCCTAAATTCCAAGAGTCAGCAGCTTCGGACAGAGACTTCAGGCAAGCGAATGAGGAGGGGGTTTACGATGGGGACGGCAACATGGAGCACAGCCAGGGATCCTGCCCTGCTGTTGCCTCATCAGTGGAGGCCTCACAGGAGCTCCAGGGCAAAGGCCCTTGGCTGGGTCAGCACTGTCCTTCCCCCAGTCTGTGGGAGTTGCCTGGTAGGACCTCTGGGGCCTGGGGTCCCCTCACCTGTCCCACATGTGCCTGGATTGAGGCTCTGGAGGGGCAGGTGAGGGAAATCCAGGCTGGGGTTGGGGGGGGTACTGAAGGATGATGCAGCACAGGAAGTCGCAGATGCGTCTTCTCCTACAGCAGCCCTGCAGGCTGAGCAACAACCGGAAGAGGAGACACTGGGTCATCGTGGTGGGAGACAACCTCCCGAGAGGCATGGAGGGGCCTATTGGTTGACCAGATCCCACAGTGCAGGAGATTTGCTGCCTGCCCGGTGCCAGAAGCCAAGACATCACTGCGTGAGCCCAGGTGAGCACTAAGGGACCTGATAGACATCAGGATGGGGTGCAAAGGCACCCATTGGGAGGCTTAAAATGTCTCTACACTAATGCTAGGAATATGGGGAACAAACAGGAGGAACTTGCTTGCAAGCAACAACTTCAACCTGGTTGGGCTAACTGAAGCCTGATGGGACCCTACTCATGATTGGATGGTAGGCATTGAAGGTTATAGGTTGTGGGGGGGGGGGGGGGGACCTTTGCTCTTTGTTGAGGGGTAATATAGATCTTCTATAAAAGTGAAGATGGGATCAGAGGAGGGCCAAAGTGACATACTGTGGGTTAGGATACAAGGGGGCTGAGGGGAAAGGGACTTGGTAGTGGGGGTCTACTATAAACTACCACACCAGGAGGATGAGCTAGACCTGGAATTCTTTGGGCAGCTCAGGAGCCGTATGGGTCGAGAGATACGGTTGTCATTGGTGACAAGCTACCCTGACATCTGCTGGGAGGATCAGTCAGTCAGAACTAAATCAGTCATGTAGGTTCTTAACCTACATATAGGACCTCCACCTAACACAGGAGGTATGATCCCACTAGGAGGGAATGCCTTACTGGACTTGGTGCTGGCTACAGGGAACCTGCAGGTACAAGGCAACTTAGGGGATAGTGAATTCACTATCTGGCAAAGGGTGGGAAAAGTAACCAGAGCAGAAGTACTAGACTTCAGAAAGGCTGACTTCAGTGTGCTTAGGAGATTAGTTAGTGGGACATTAAAGTTCAAGAGCATTGACAAAGATAGGGGTCCAGGAAGGGTGGTCATTTGGGTGCAGGAGGAGGCAATCCCACTGCATAGAAAAAGGAGGCAGAAGGGGCTAAAAACCCCTCCTGGCTAAATAGAGAAATCCAGGAAAGCTTAAGGGCAAAAAAAAGGGGCATACAGGCTGTGAAAGCAGGGGGTAGCTACCAAGGAGGAGGCTTGCATTTGCAGGGAATCAGTTAGGAAGGCCAAAGCAGCATTAGAACTCAGGCTGGTGACAAAAATTTAGGGGGGGGGAAAAAAAAAAAAAAAAAAACACAAAACCACACCAACAAGTCCTTTTTCAGGTATATATGGAGCAAAAGGAAGGCGCAGGGCAGCACAGGACCCGTACAGGATAGAGAAGGGCAATCGGTGACAGATAGTGGGGACAAAGCTGAGCTCTTCAATGAGTTTTTTGCCTCCATTTTTGAACTCTGATCTAGACAAATCTCTGAAATGCATTACTAACAGAAGAAACACCAGGCCACCAATTGTCAGTGCTGACCTAGTAAAGAGACACTTGGAGGGGCTGGATGTGTTTAAAATCAGCGGGACTGGATGAGCTCCATCCAAGGGTGCTGAAAGAATTAGCCAGTGTCATAGCAGAGCCACTGGCACAACTGTCTGAGCACTCAGGTTGCTCAGGTGAGGCCCCAGAGGACTGGAAAGAGAGCCAATGTGGTCCCCATTTTCAAGAAGGGGAGGAAGGAGGATCCTCCTTCCTATAGACCAGTTAGTGAGTCTCACCTCTTTCCTTGGGAAAACCCTTGAAAAAAATAACTCTATCCTTGGGAAAACCCTTGAAAAAATTATGAAGGAACACATTTGTAGGAGTCCAGTGGGTAATACAATGCTGAAGGGCAACAAGCATGGGTTCATGGCAGGTAGATCCTGCCTGACTAACTTAATTTTGTTCTATGACCAGGTCACTAAATGCATATTTGTAGGAGTTGAGGTAGATGTCATCTACTCTGACTTTAAGAAGGCCTCTGACATGGTGTCCCATCCATTTCTTATAAAGAAACTGAATGGCTGTGCCATAGAGGATTACAGCCATGTGGGTGGCAAATTGGCTTAAGGATCATACTCAGAGTAGTGGTGAACAGGTCAGTATCGACCCTGACAGATGTGGGCAGTGGGGACCCCCAAGGCTGGGTCCTTGGGCCAGTGCTGTTCAATATCTTCATCAGTGACCTGGATGAGGGTGTAGAAAGCACTCTGTCCAGATTTGCAGATGACACCAAACTATGGGGCAAAGGAAACACTCTGATGGGAAGAAACTGAATCCAGGTGGAACAGGACAGGTTAGAGAAGTGGGAAGAGAACAACAGGATGCAGTTCAACAAGGACTAGTGTAAGGTACTGCACTTAGGGAGAGAGAATCACCAGCACACTTATAGGCTGGGGATGACCTTCTCAGCAGCAGAGCGGCAGAAAGAGACCTTGGAGTCGTTGTCAACTCCAAGATGAATACGAGTTGTCAATGTGACAAAGTAATTAGCAGAGCTAACTGCACTTTGTCATGCATTAGTAGGTGCATCATGAACAGGTTCAGGGAGGTGATGCTCCCCCTCTATGCAACACTGGTCAGGCTGCAACTAGAGTACTGCGTCCAATTCTGGGCACCACAATTCAAGAAGGATGTGGACAACCTTGAGAGGGCCCAGAGGAGGCCACTCATATAGTTAGAGGTCTGCAAGGAAGGCCTGATGAGGAAAGGCTGAGGGACCTGGATCTTTTCAGCCTCCGTAAGAGAAGGCTGGGGGGGATCTTGTGGCAGTATACAAAATTCACCTGGACATCAGGAAGACCTTCTTCACAGTTAGGGTTGCTAGAATCTGGAACAGGCTTCCAAGGGAGTTGGTGCTCTCCCCTACCTTGGGGATCTTCAAGAGGAGACTGGACAAGCACCTGGCTGGGGTCACATGACTCCAGCACTTTTTCCTGCCTAGGGCCAGACTCAAATGATCCATTGAGGTCCCTTCCAACCCTAGCATCTATGAATCTATGTCCTCTACAGCCACAGAGAAAAAAGCCCATCTCCATCCTCTCTATAATCATCCTTCAGGTATTTGATCCCCCTCAGTCTTCTGTTCTCCAGACTAAATAACCCTAGGCGAAGAGTCATTAGCCTGAACAAGTCTTCAGTGACAGAGTAGGTTAGCTGAACACTACTGGTTGATTTCCATCTTTTGACCAAAAACTGGATGAAAGTCAAGTTGTGTGTACAAGGACTTAAACATGTGCTGAAAGAACCTGCTCCCCCCAAATCACTTACCACCAGGCTTATGCTGGGATTCTAGAGTGGTATCATTTTCAAGAAATGCCAGGAGGGAAGCCAAATCTGTATCAGAGTGAGAAGAGAAAGATCAGTTTAGCAGCCCTTAACCAAGAGCTATAGACCGTGGAGGAAAAGGCAGTTTAACAGTTTGATGTCATCTTCAGTATATTAGGCCTTGTGCTAGGGGCAGCTCATGAACAGGCCTAGTGATCCAGTTGTGTTTTGGGGTTGTTCTACAATGAAGGCTGTGGAGACCTTCCAGTAAGAGTTACAAGTCACAAAAGATTCTCCAGCATTCCTTGGAAGACGCCCCAGAATCTGCATCACTGTATTATTAACCACAGAATTCTGCTTGTCATCTTGTCTAGGTATTTGGTATTGAGTACTTAGTCTCTGCAATTGGTCTTGAAGCCTGGTGGATTAAGTTCTTGCAGTGATGCCTTGAAGGGGCAGGAGCGTCAAAGGACATTGAAGCACTTTACGTCCAAAATCTAGGGGTTTTCACTCCTCTAAAAGCAACACTGCACACATGAGATTTGTAGTTGTCATAGCTCCAGAGAAAAACCATGAGCACTGGACAAGATTTCTGAACTTACCTCTTGGAAGTGCAGATGCTTAAATCTCACCTATAAGAGATTGGTTCCAAGACCATACATGGGCCAAAGGGAAGTCTAAAAATCTGGATTTAGTCCTGTAAGAAGAGACTATGAAAACTTAAGGAAGAACATTAACCTAGACATTTCTATTTTCTTCCCTACAAAGCTATCACAAAAAAGGAAAAAAGCTGTAATTGGTTGCAGGCGGGGGGGGGGGG